CACTCCCTGTTGTCTCTCTGGCATTAAACCAAGTATGTGTTGCTACAGCATGGCTTTTGCCTGTTAATAAAAACCAAATGAAAAACCTTCCCTGTACTTGCTTCCTTATCAAAAGTGGAAAAATAGAATGTAAACCCCTAGAGGGAGCCTGATTTTTCTCATACCTGGCCCACTTTAACTATTTACATTATTTGGTGACCGAAAGCATTTATATTTGTGATCCTGAATTGAGTCCAAATCCCCTTTTAAAAATCTGAAAAACAAAGAACCCAGAGAGTTTAAGCGATTGCCTAAGGTCCTAAGTCTTGATAGTGGCTAAAGCTGTACCCACAGGTGAGTCTTTTTCCAGTTACTATTTCTATTTGCCCATACATCTTTTATCTAAATCAATTAGCTAATATGATTCAATCCATGTTCCACATGAGAAAGCAGGGACAAGAGGAAGTGTGTCAGCTACAATGAAGGAGCACAGAAGGTAGCTATGCACACAAGAGGATGTATCCGCGGATCTCTGCTTCACGTTCTGATTATTCACAGATTACTCAGGCTGCCTGTGTTTAAATATTTTGACAGATGAAGCTGAAGGAACGATGCCCCTCTCTAACCGGTTGTTCCATTAAATTTATGCTTAATTGTCTCCTTTCATGTCTAATCATGAATTTTTTTTTTCTAACATAAGTTTCCTAATTTACTTAACTAAATCAAATGGCGAGCTGAGCGACAAGAATACATAACATGACTCATGAGAACCCACAAAATACCCAGAGAGAATGAACTGGAAAGAGAAACAAAGCAAGAGGGACCCTGGGAGATGTTTTTACTTACTTGGGCTCCTCCTTTTCAGGTCTTTTACTTTTCCCTAATGAAATGAGTCTGTCTTGGGGGCATATGTCACCTTCCCTATACACACAATGACAATATTTCTATGATATGCCATATGCTTGTGTCTTCCATGGGGGAAACGAGAGCCAAACGATTTATGACTTATTAATTTATCTCTGTTTACTTTCATGTAGTTTTGTCTTGCTTAGTTTTTGGGGGAGTATTTAGAGACAGTGACTTTGTGACCTGGGATTTTAGGCTGTGCCCACTTTCCACCCTGCCATCCAAAATATTCCACAGATAACCTCTCAGTTTAATTCTATGTATCTCATACAGGGAAATCCGGGATTTACTTCCAGTCCTACCACTTGGCATTTGCCGGAGTTCAAACAGACCCTTATGAGCCTCATCCTAAAATGAGCATGGTAGTATCTATTTTAGAGGCAGCCGGAATAGACAAACGAGATCCATCTTGTGTAAGTGCTCTGTAAACCATAAAGCATCAACTCATGTGTCCTGATGGTCACACATGGTCCTAAACACTGGGAACATGAGATGTTCTGAGAAAGGCAGGACATGGAACTCACTGGAAGCTCATGACTTCCTATGTCCATTTCAAGAGACAAAAGATGAACAGAAAAGGGGAACAGATTATTAAAAATAAGACCAGGTCAGGAGGTAGGGTCTTCAGGGAGAAGAGTGCAGTAGGCCTCATGATGCATTCCTTTGTGTCTCCAGAATGTGTGCAAGCTTCTATTTTGGCTTCTGTCACACTGTTGACTATATCTGATTATCTGTCTTCCCTCTCTAACACCCAGAATCCTATAAACTAAGCATTCTGGGAAAGGGCTGTGCCAGGCATAGTTGCATCTCTGGCTCTTAGACTGGTATCTGGTACCACCAGGCCTGCTAGGTTAGTGTTAGTTACTAGTGTGATAGAATAATGGCTTTCCCCAAAAGATGGCCACATCTCAATTCCTGAAATCTGAGAATATGTGACCGTATATGGCAAAAGGGACTCTGCAGATTTGATCATGTTAAGGATCTCAAGATGAGGAAATTAGCCCTGATTATCCAGTTGGGCCCAATATGATCACAAGGTCTTTAAAAGAAGGAAGCTAGAGAGAAATGAGACATGAGGACAGAACCAGAGGTTGGAGTGGTACGATTTTAAGACAGAGGAATGGGCCACAAGCTAAGGAATGCTAGATTGTGGGCAAGGCAAAGACATAATTCTCCTCTGAAGCCTCCAGAAAGATTGTAGCCTTGCCAACACTGTGACGTTAGACTTTCGACCCTTAGAATTATAAGAAAATAAATTTGTGTTGTTTTAAGCTACTGAGTTTGTTACAACAGCAACAAGAAACTAATATACTTAGATAAGAAAGTAAACAAGTAACTGATATTTGAATGAATGAATGAGCAAAGGAATGTTTAGATAAAAGGAGGGAGCTCTAGATGCAATGAGGAATGACCCATGTTCAGGTCCCAACATGGACAATATCCAGATGGGCAACTTGGGCGCTGTCACTTAATCTCCCCAGAATCTTCAGCCTAAAAGCCGAGGCTGTGGAGTCAGAATGACCAGGGTTCAAGGCCCTTCTAGGCTACTTCCTGGCTGTGCACCTTCAGGCAGGTGCTCACCTCTCTGCTCTCTGTTTCTGCAGTTGTAAGATGGGCATAGTCAGAGTACCTCTTGCACAAAACTGTTATGGGGATTGAATGAGCTATATAGTCGAGTCGCATTTGACGGGGCTCTGAACTAGGCAAATTTGAAATCATAGTCACATAAAAATGTTATGAATATGACTTCATGCACAAAACTTGAAATCATGCAAATACCCCAATTAACAAAAAGGTCAAGAACCACACAATGGCAAAGCTGGTAAAGTTTAAACCACTGATTACCGCTTGGTGGGACTGTCTCAGCTGCTGAACAGAAACACCCACCGTCCTTTGAGAGAACCCATGTTGAATTAAGCAAGTTATAAATTACACAAGCAACAAATTATGAGAGGTCTTCAAGAACACACTCCTTGAACAAAATATGACTACATTTAATGCATGCAAAGCAATTAGCAGGGGCCTGGAACACAGAAAGCTATTATTCTGGTATTATTATATTAGCTCAATGATAAAAGACTCAGAACAAACACTTCCACCACAATGGAAAATGAAACAAACTCCAGCTTTCCCAGGGGCCTATGCTTTACACAGGCCTCTGGCTCCTTTCAGAGAAATTTTGCAAGTTGGAAAATCTGAATCAGGTGTGCTAATGACACCCTATATTATGAAGCAATAAATTTTCCAGCTTTTACCTGAAACACAGCACTTGGCCTCAGGGAAGTGTTAACTATGTGCTCCACCAGTATTACCATGCACATCTAGCATAAACTATTTTGCTACTATTGAGAATAAAGGAATTTGTTCTATTCTGAATAATGAAAGGGAGATGAAGGGGATCTTCTTGGGACCCAGCAAACACTTGCCCTTCTCTCTGTTCTCGTTTCTTGCATGCCCAGACCACAAGGCTGTACCAAGTACATATGTGAAGTTTCATAAATGTTTGTTTAATGTAAAATGACCTCTACAAGTCACGTAACCTATACCTCTCTCCCACTTTATAGATAAGGAGTCTGAGGCCAATGAGAGGAATGACTGAAACATTCCTTCTGTGTAGCATTAATTCAAGTTAATAACTTTCTTCTTCCTAGACGGAAGAGAGCAAAATTCCCAAAACTAATGGACTGGGCTAGGGAGAGGAAATAGTTATAAAATACATTTTTAAAAGTGTGTCTGTTTTCCTAAGTAGCTTCCAATTTCACAAAAGAATTCTGAAGGTGATTAACCACAGATTTGGCTAATAACTAGTAAAGAAATTTAAAGAGAATGGTCAAGAGAAAACTGGAATCGGTATGAAAGAGACCCACAATGGGAAAACTGGAGAAAGCCCAGGAGTGATGTTGAATTATTTAGTTCTAATGAAGCCAGGTGTTACCTGCGAGGGGCAACAAATGATGTACTTTTGAGATTCAAATGACTCTTTTATGCTGCACAGAACCACTTAATGCAGAATTGAGTCCCATTTCCTACGCACACCTCAACTTTGTACTAATGCAGATAAAATATCCAGGAATGACCTGGGAAAACCTGATTAGTCAGCAAAAGCCTAGGGCTGCCCAGTGATTACCACGAATTTCCACCAATTCACTTGCCATTTTAGGCTTTTCATGCATAGTTCTATAGTGGGTATTGGGTCTCTATTTGGGACTTGAAGTGATTTTAATAAAAGTCCTAAATTTATCTATATAGAGTGTGCTATTTCTGTTGTAACTTCCTATTCCTACCATACCAGAGCTTTCTCACCTCTGTGCAGCCAACTTGAACCACACTCAGATTAGTTGTCCTGCTTCCCAGCCTGGCCATTGTGCTAGTGTTAAAGGATTATGGGATATAGGCTGTTAGGAGAAGATGATGACTTGCTACTCCATTGACCACTTACTCTCCTTGGACCTCTTCAGACTCCCCAGTCACTGCCTGAGGTGCAAGGCCAGACCTTCGAGCATAGCACACAAGCCCAGAGCTCACCAAGCTCTTCTGTGTACTCCCAGCCTCACTGTTAAACGCTTTAGCTCATCAGGTCATTATGTGGTTACCTGGAGGTGCTTCTTCTCCACTGCTCTGAAGACCCAGAGTGATCCACAGTGCAGATGACTGCACCTTTATCTAGGCTCCCCTCCCTTGCAATGCCCTTTCCCTGCTCTCCATTCCTCAGACCACCTCATCGCACCTCTGGGAAGTCCTCCTCAGCTCTTCAGACAGGATGAGTCCCCCCCTCCCCTGGATTCCCAAGGAATGCCGTAGACACCTCTCTTACAGTCCTGACCACAGAGCACTGTGATGCTTTCATACATCTTTCTGTTTCACTATAAAGTTATTATTTTTTTTTTTTTGCATCTTCCTACAACCAAAAATCTGCTGTTTCACAGTAGGAGTTCAAGAAATGAATGAGTTAAATAAACATGTATATCATCCCCACACTAGAGGCAACTAGTTGGCTCCCAGCACTGAGGTCTGGACCATTTCTTTTATCTTTGGGTCAGAGAGGGCAAAACTTAGAGATATACCAGAAAAACAAGCCAACCGGTAATCAGCCGAGAGTAAGAAACATGGTGTACCTGATAGACCATTATATTAACAGTGTCTTCTTTTTTCTGCTCTGGAGGTCCTTGACTCTGCAATAGATTTCGTACCGTTTCTTCCATCCTGAGAGACAAAAATAGGAAGAATTTCTTAAATAAGGCTTCTGATTAATATGGGTCTGTTCCAGTTAGTACAAGTCATTCCTCAGTGTGTATTTTCCAAGCTTAGACCTGGAAATCTCTTTTCTCTTCTCTCTCCTTCATCCCCTATTAAGAATCTGCCATGAAGTCCTTTAAAATCATTCTTCAGGATGTCTCTGCATTCTCTCTCTACCATTCGGGTCCCTCTCTTTGGCCTTGGACATCCGTACTCACGCATGCGCTTCCCAATAGCCCTGTTCACTTCCAATTGCTCCCTTTTAATTTGATACAATGTCACCACATGAATCTTCCTGAAACACCACTTTGATTTTTTAAAATCAATTTTCAAAGTTAACAAATATTACATGAATACATTCTCTCCATTAACACACTGTCATGTTTTTCCATGTCAGCACACAAAGATCTACCTCATTCTTTTCAACTACAGTCAAAAGTCACTTAATGACTGTGACAGGTTCTGAGAAATGCAGTTAGGTGATTTTGTTGCTGTGTAAACATCATAGAGTACACTGAACAAACCTGGATGCTATCGCCTACTGCACACCTAGGCTACATGGAATGGCCTATTGCTCCCAGGCTCTGAAGCTGGACAGCATGTGACTGCACTGAATACTACAGGCAACTGTAACACAGTGGTAAGTACTGGTGTATCTAAACATAGAAAAGATTTGGTAAGAATACTGTATATGGGATGAAAAATGGTACACCTGTATAGGACATTTACCATGACTGGTGCTTACAGGACTAGAAGTTGCTCTGGGTCAATCAGTGAGTGAGTAGTGAGTGAATGCGAAGGCCTAGTACACTACTATAGACTTTATAAACACTGTACTCTTAGGCTACACTAAATTTGTAAAAAAAAAAAAAGTTCTTTCTTCAATAGTAAATTAACCTTAGCTTACTATAGTATTTTCACTATGTGAGCTTATATATATAGCTTTATGTATACATAACTTTTATAACTATATATATATAACTTATACATATTACACATTTAAAACTTTTTGACTCTTTTGCAATAACTCTTAGCTTAGCTTAAAATATAAATTCTTTGTACAGACCTTTGTACAGAAAGATTTTCTCTACATCCTTAATCTATAAGCTTTTTTTTTTTGTATTTTTTAATTATTTTATTTTTAAAAACTTTTTTGGTTGACAACTAAGACACAAGCACACACATTAGCATAGGCCTGCACAGGGTCAGGATCATCAAGACATCACTAGGCAACAGAAATTTTTCAGTTCCATTATATTAATAATTTTGTGAGACCACAGTCTTGCATTCAGTCCACCGTTGGCTGAAATGTCCTTTACGTGGCACATGACTGTGCTTCCAAGCATGTCACGGTGTGAATGCACCATAAGCTATTTAAGCACTCCTCTAATATGAAATTTAAGTTACTTCAACATGTTTGCCAATTTCAGACAACCAACATCCCTACACAGATATCTTTGTACACGTTTGTATTTCTATAAATTATATCATAAAATATATTGCATGTCTTAATCCTGTTTTATTTTAAATAGTCCCCTCCAGTGGCCCCCCACTGCCCAGAAACAAAGAGTAAAGGACACGCTCATTTCCATTTCCGGGCATTTGCTCCTGCTGCTGCTGCTTGGAATGCCAACTCCCTTTCACCTTCTCCTATTCCATCCATCTTCCAACTCTGCCTCAACTTTTACTTCTAAAGATACTTCCTCATTGATTTCCCACTTCCCTGAATTCGTACAGCCCTATACTTTCAAGCATTCGTTCTATCACTTAAAAACCCTTCACTGCAACACTCACATATTTTGTGTGTGGAAGTCTTGTCTTCTGGAGTAAATGACATTTGGCATAGGACCATGTCATGTATTTCTTGTGTAGTTCTCTCAATTACAGATAAAGCAGGCACTCAGTAGACACTGTTAATGAGTCCTTTGTTAACTCACTTTTAGAAGTATGAAGTACTTACTCTGCGCCAGGCATTCACCATGTCTATTCAGACTGTGTTTGAATGACCTTGTCCTTGGGGCCCACCCACGAGGATTCAGAGTAGTGTAATTCAAAATGCCAACCTTTCTAATATGGCATGTAGCTACACAGCGGCGGAATGAGAACACTGCGGATGAACTGAGACAGTCCAAACCTGGATTAGTAATTGGGGAAATGCTGCCTTTACAAAGGATGACAACAGGACCCATTTAGACTTTCAAGAAAACGGTGGATATTGGTTAGGAGGGCTCAAGGAATGATTGTGAAGACGCATTTATACAAGCCACCTTTTCACATACCCAGTGGGGAGGGCAGAAGCTGTTCCCTATATTTTCACAAATCTTATGTTATTAATAATGACTCAGTTGAATAGTACTTTTAACTTGTCTAAGAATTCTCTCATCTATTACTCATTTAATGCACTTTTAAAATGTCAGTATGTCTATTTAGGAGATGAGAAAGCTGAGGCACAGGCAGGTAAGGCAGCTTACTTAAGGACCATAGTTAGTCGGATAGGGAGTTCAAATTAAACCATTTTTACTGACTCTAAATACTGTAGCATCTTTCCACGTGACATTAATGATATTCAGGAAAATGGTTTTAAATAAGTGAGAGTCTTAACTCCTAATTAGGAATTCTCTTGGTAAATATAATAACTTCTGTATACTGAGCCCACGAAGGCAACAGCATTGTTTCTGACCCAGGAAGAACTTAAGGTCTGGGAGAAGAGAAAAACAGCTTATGTGAGAGTGGGCGGGGAGGTATGAAGAGGTCACAAATTCTAAAATAATAAGTGATCAGGGCCAAGTTCTAATATGAAATTTCATTTTATGTAAATAATCTCTTGAACAGAAGAACATTTTCCATGTTTGCCAAATCTACCATAAACACAGAAAGGAATGATAGTGGTTCTAAGACTTCCCAGGATCACTCAGCTTATTCATGGCAGATCAAGGGACTAGTCTTCTGGTTTTCTAAACATTCGTCTACTTTCTTCCTACCTTAGCACAGAAGCTAGATGTCTTCCTTCGTTCATTTATAAACATCTGGTTTAAATATGGACCGACAGTTATGAACAGAACTCAGTTAAAATGAAATCATGTCTTTTTTTTTTATTACATTAAAATACAATTCTGCCTAAGCGCATATCTTACTGAATTATCTCTTCTGTACAATTAAGTTGCTGGATCAAAAAGGAAAACATCTGTTCACCTTTCCCCCATCCTTCTTGGCTTTATACTTAAAAAAAAAAAAAAAGAAGTAGAGATGGACAAGAAATTATTAAAACAATCTCAAGCAGTTCAGAACCTTTGGTGATACTGCGAACACTTTTCTGGCACTACTTTATGATTAATTAAAATCAATTACGTTTCCAACTACAGCTTGGAACAGAGTTTCAGGAACCCATCCCAACTCTTGGTAAAAAATCAAGTTGCCATATCTTTTCATAACCTTTATGAATCTGGTCACAGAGAAAATCTTTTGAACCTGATGAGAACACCATTATTTATTCCCTGATGACATCTTCTTTTTAAAATTCTTATTTAGCAAACCTCTCTACCTAATTTCCCCCAAATCAAAGACTGAAGCAGTATCCATTCTTGTTTGATGCCCAATGACATTTTGCTTCATTTTATTATTTTGATAGCTAATGTATGAATGTTTGCATGACCAGTAATCTCACAGCACAGTTCTGCCATCTGTCTCCCAAATATGACTAAAAATAAGCCAATTTCTCTTCCCAGTTAGGCAGAGTTTTTGGTTTTTGTTGGTTGTTAAATGGCTGATTGGTACAATTTATCTTGAAACACTGGCCTTAATCAATATATTCTAGCTTTTCACCCTACTCCCTCACCTGAGACTAAAACCTTTCCTTCCCTAAATACTAGTCAAGTAGCTATCATAATTAAAAATGTAGAGAACAAAATTATACTTAGTGAGATGTAATAAATTCTAATGTATGCTAAATAAACTACTTTTAAAACGTTCACTCCTAGGCAAGCCAGAAGAAATAAACGAAATACATATGCAAACAGTATGTTTTAGGTAACACAGGTATAAATACAGGTATTTTATTTAATCAAAATAGATTACATTTTTAAGGTACATATTATTTAATCAATAAATTCCTATTATAACATGTTTCTGGCGGAAGCAAAAAATCTATAGCTTTTGCTTAAGAAGGGCACTAATGTAAAATCAGGAAAATATGATATTAAATAATAATTCATAGGAAAGTAATAATTCAAATCCACACAAGAGCAGATTAGTGAGCTATCGTAAATAGATTTTCTCCCTGTTCTCTGGGGTCCACCTTTGTCCTAGACACCTTTTGAAGTGCATATCACTGGGGTACTTATCATTGCATCTGCATCCGAAGTCTCAAAGAGAGGGTCTGTCTAGACAGCAAGGGAAGAACCTTCTGGAAGAAAATGCTAAAAGATAGTGGTTTCCCAAACCCTTTCATGACAAGATAACACCTAATCATTCAGGGCCTGATAATACCTAAGGCTTTCTTTAGAAACAGAGAATATGATTTGGACCCCAAAGAACTTAAATTATTCAATCATGAAAGCAGTGTTAGAAAACATGACTTCGAGGTACATTAGGAGCTATTTGTTCTAATATGTAAATGGCAGTGGGCTTTTCCTAATCCCTTCCTTGCCTCTGAAATCTAGCCCTCTACTTTGATTAATAACACTCTAGGAACTTATCAGATTATTAGACTGAACTGTTCTTTTTTGACTCCTCTAGTCAGCTATTCAGTGGAGAATAACTTCATTTTTGACAGAGATGGGGCAGAACACTGGAAGCCCCTCTACCCAAGCCACACTCACAACTGACGGGCTCGTTCAACTGCAAGCTAGACTCAGTTGTATTCTGCCTTTAAGAAATATCTTAACATGTGTGCTTGCTGATGAGCCCAATGACAAATTTATAATGAAATTAACAATGAAATCATTCAATATCCCTTCACATCCTTCTAG